CCTTCTAAGTATTCCTTTATATGTGGTTCAGAGTTCTGGGACCATCCCCTGAACCTGCTTGGTTGGGTATTCTGTGTTGTTGTTGGTGGAGCTCTCTGTTATACGTCTACCCGATCCGCCATCTTGTTTGTTCTCCTATCAATGGTTTTGAGTTATGGTATTGGAGGAGAATATTGAAAGTGCCATGGGCTGCCAAAAAACCCAATAGATCTGTTTTGGAAGAAGTGCAGCCAGAGTGCACCTTGGAGGCCAATATGGCCAAACTTTGTCTCTCATACTTTGGACATATTGTCAGAAGGGACCAGTCGCTGGAGAAGGATATCATGTTTGCCAAGGTGGAGGGTCAGAGAAAGAGAGGAGGACCTCCAACAAGATAGATTGGCCAAGTGGCAGCATTGATGGACTCAAATGTGGCAATAGTAGTGAGGTTGACCCAGGATCGGGCAGTGTTTTGTTCTGCTGTGCATAAGGTCACTATGAGTCGGTACCAACTTGATGGCACCTAACAACAACAACCACCTTTCTTTTGATTATTGTTTTCATGGCATATCTGTTTTCTATCCTTTTAGTTTTGACCTATCGGTGTCTTTCATATTTAAAGTGGTTATCTGCTCTGGTAGCGTAGTGGTTATGAGTTGGGCTGCTAACCTCAAGGTCAGCAGTTTAAAACTACCAGCTTTTATGTGGGAGAAAGGTAAGGCTTTCTGCTCCTGTAAAGATTTAAAGTCTTGGAAACCCTATACAAGGTCACTATGAGTCAGAACCAACTCCATGGTACGTAACTAACCAATCTTGTGGGCAGCATTTATTTGAATCTTTTTGTGAAAATCCAGTATGTCTATCTCTGTCCTTTAATTGCTGACAACTAATTATACAATTAAGAATTTACATGTTATTATTAATATGTGTTATTTAAGTCTATCATTTTATTATTAATTTTGTGTTTAATCTCTTTGATTTATGTTTCTCTGTAATGTCTCTCCAAGGTACATTCTAATATCTACTGATATAGCTTAACAGTATTCTGGCTGGCAAAGGAAACATGCTTAAAGGGAGCATATTCATTTCCATAGAGCCAGCAATGAATTTGAGTCGAGATAAGGGACACAGGGTGAATGAGGAATGGCATCAAGACCAAGTTGTTCCTGCTGTCCAAGGTGTATGTGTGACTTGAGAAATGAGGTGGGAGGTCAGGAGCCCCTGGAAACAGGAAATCAGGTAGGCTGATGACCCCAGGGTCTTGCAAGCATGCCTCAGGCAACCTGAATGTTCTTAGGGTGCTGGCTGAGGTCTGGCAAGGCAGAGTATCAAAGATGAAAGATGTGCTTCCTGCTCTCTAAGAAAGAGGGCTCTATTGAGGTGAGGCCAACCAGCAGACAATTCCTATTATAAAATATATGCCCAGGGTTCTAGTCATGACTATGCCGTGGCTGGCTCCTGTGCCCAGCTTGTGCAAATACTTGTACTGTGGCACTGTAGGATAAGCACTGGACTGCTAACCACAAGGTCAGTGGTTCAAATCTACCAGCCATGAGTAACTTTACACAGGGTCACTATGAGTCAGAACCAACTCAATGGCACTTAACAAGAACAACACAATGCTTTAGTCATACTCAGCTCCAGGCAAGTCCTAAAACTTGCCATGTTCTCTCTAACCTCTTGGTTTTGTACATGTTGTTATCTCTGCTTATGCGGAAGGCTGACTTCTCATTCACATCACATCCTCTGGAAGTGCTCAATGATGGCCGAGTCTGGGTTAGGCTTCTCCTCTTTGCATTGTAGCCATGGCTCTATTCTAACATAGCACTTAGCACACTGATTCATAATGGATGGTTTTCCAGCCATCATGACTGCATCATAAGCTCTTCAAGAGCAAGAACCGACCTTTGTTCACTAGTGTTTTCCCATTATCAATGTAGTAGGCACTTATCACATGTGTTGTTGAATGAATAATAAAAGTGGGATAAATGAAGAAGATGACAGAAGTGAAAATGCAAATGCAGATCACAAAGTGCTTGATGCCATCTTAAGGATTTTGAGTTATTTCTGGAAAGTAATAGAGAGTCACTGAGGGCCATGAGCAGGGGAGACCCATTATCAGGTTTCAATGTGAGAGAGATCTGTCGAGCAGCATGGTGACCCCAATGTTGCAGAGTAGAACTCAGCTCCATTTTTATGGAAGCAGATCACTAGACCTGTCTTCCATGGCACTGCTGGGTGGTTTTGAACGGTCAGCCTTTCAGTTAGCAGTGAAGCATAAGCTATCCAGGGATCTTCAGCATCATGGTAAATGGATTAAAAGGAGATGAGAATGGAAGCAGAAAGCGGAGGACATCCCTGCAAGAATCCCAGAGGAACTGGGTGGGTTGGGACTTGGGGAACACATGGTAGGGCTTGTCTTGGTCGGGAGGAAAAACTTGTGGTGTGAAGCATTCCTGGAGAGAAGCAGGATGCATGGCCCTTGGTTTCAAAGCCTTTGCTACATGTCTCAACCTTCCCTTGCCGGATTGTGAGCCACCTTAGGGAAGGTCCTGACTCTTCTTTCCACAGTGTCTCTCCTGTGCCCAGAACCCCAGACTCCGCCCTTGGCTGGACCTCAGTAGGGTGGGTTGTTTGCTGGCTGGAGTCTTAGAAGCAACAGTCCCCAGCCCCAGTGTGATCCACAAGGAGAGGCCAGACAGAGTCTTGGTGAAGTTAGCTTGGCGAGTTTATTGAAAATGCAGGAACACAAAAGAGCAGTACATACAGGCACCCCACCCTCACTCCCAGACCTCTCTGGAGCTTGCAGGCACAAACCTTCCTGCAGTGGACAGTGCTGGGCCTCACACTAAACTGGGGCAGGGGCACCTGGATTGTTTCAGAGCCCACCTCTCCACTTGTACCCCACCCACAGACCTGAGTTACAGCAACAACCTAGGAAGAGAAACAGCTAGGACATGTACCACTGAGAGAAGAACTGTCTCAGGAGATTTGGGGCTCCCACCAAGGGCTTTGAATCCTTGTGGGTGGTGAGGAGAAGGAAAAAACCTTCTCCTTCTAAGGAAAGGAAGAGGAAGGACACAAAGAATGGTGGACTGAAGATACTTGCATATGGACCATAACTCTCCATTCCCCAATTGAGTCCAAAGCCATGACAGCAGGGACAATGATGAAGATGCCTAAATGCTTTCTTTTTGGCTTTGAACTGTTCCTTTTCTCCCCTGCAGACTGATTTTGATAATACTATTGTCTATTCAATTTACATTTCTGGAGGCTGTTCAGTTGGATGATCCAAAGGAAGGAAATGGGAAATCAAGAGCTGTGGATGGAGTATCCATATGGAGACAAATCTTGGCCAGACAGAACAGCCACTGGGGAGAGTCAAGCGGCAGCTGCCTGGCAGGAGGGGTTTCTGGAAATCCTCAGGCACCGAATCTGTGCGCCTCAGGGGACAGAAGCAGGGGATGGTGAGCTGGTTCTTCTCTCAGCAGTGACTGTCTGGCTCTCAGTACTTGGTCCGACGAGAGGTGGTGGTGGAGACGAAGCGGACGCTGGAGCCACGGCTTGCACGGCCACCGCTGCAGCTGCTGAAGCCCCCCTCGGTGGGCAGGGGACAGGGAACACTGGGGGCACAGGCCTCACCCAGGTACATAGAACCCACTCTGCTGCCGGCACACATCAGATCCCCTCCAGTCGTGAAGACCCGGGACCCGCCAAAGCTGGAGCCGCAGGTGCCGCTCGAAGTCAGGACCCCGCCCATGGTGCGGAGGCTGCTGCTGCCACTGGAGAAGCCGACCCCGCCGCGGGAGACCACGGAGCTGGTGACGAAGGGCTCAGGGCCACACACCACACCACCTCGGGAGCTGCTCACAGCTACGGAAGAAAGGAGCAGTCAGAAAGGTAGTTCATTCCAGAATGTTCCCAATTGGTTCAAGGGCCCAGGTCTCCACGTTCCCTCGTTGGGCTGCACCAGTGGAGGAGTAGGGGAGGTCTGGTGGCTGGGAAAGGTGGTCTGAAGGTGTCATCTGGGGAAGTGGTCTTAATAGAAGTGGCCCTTACTATCCACACAGTCAGTACCCACTTTTCCCTTCTCTTGTCTGTCTAGGAGCAGAATTATTCTGGTAGATGTGTCGTTGGCCTTCATAAAGCCATGAGTTAGCCCTTTTAATTAGAGTATTTTAATGCCCATCGTGGCCCTTACATGCCCACCTAGATAGCACACAAGAACCGTCTTCAACACAAACCCCTATCCACACTCTTTGGACCTAGCAACAGCAGCTCTGCTCTGTAGCCTTCTGGTCTCCTTGACTAAACCTTGTTTAGACCAGCCCGTATCTTCTGCCTTCCTGCCATCTGTGATGTCCAGGCAAGCCTAACTTTCTGAAGAAAGCCATTCCCACTGGCTCCCCTCTATGTGGGTGCTCTTTTCTGAGCACAAGGAGCTCTGGCACTCCGTCCTCCTCACTTTAGCCCTTGGTTCCACCACATCCTAATGTACATTTGTGATTTTGGTGTTGGAAAGCTGAGTTGGAATTCTTACTGCCACTGACCAGCTTAGGGACTTGGGCAAATTGTGTATTGTCTTTGGGTGGGCAGGGATGCCAATGTCTACTCCTTCCTCCAAGGATCCTGTAAAGATTCAGTTTGATGGTGGCTAGGCCTCAACTGTATACACGAGGACTATATAGCTGTAGAGATCAGGGGCTGGCTCTTGCACTTCTTTGTGCTCCCACCCCAGTGCCCAGCATAGGACCCTGCATGTGTGGGAACATCCAGTGCTTTGATTGGCATAAGCAGCAGGTGGAACTTCTGTTGAGCTTTAGTCCCTTCCTGCCATCAGCGGTAAGATAATTCCCTGACACGGGCTTTTCCATTCTTTCCTTGGCCTTTGTCATTGAAGGACAGGGCCACTCAAAGCAAGAAAGACTGACTTCCTCCTGGAACCTTCTTCCTCCTTTGTAGCTCCTGCAAACCTTTATAAATGCTTCACTTTGGAAAAGTCTGGCTTTTGGCAGATCTCAGGCCTTGCCTAGGAGTGTGCTCCCAGGCCAAGGGTCACATGATTCCTCCTCCCCTTATTCTCAGGGCTAGGATGACTCTGTGTCATCCTTTTAGCAGGCTCCTGACTCCATGGAGGGCCTGAGTTTAAAGGCAATTGGAGAGCTAGATTTCTCTATCAGAGAAAAGACATAAGTTTCTTACATATATTCACTGGTCCAACACCTTCACAGATCCTGAAGAGAGAAAGAAACAAGTCAATTCATAAGCACTGCTGCTCCCCCCAAACCTCATTGCTATGAAAAGGGCAGTCTTGGCTGAGGGATCAAGTGGAGCAGCACCTGTCACCCCTGGCTATGCAAGCATCCAGGCTTTGAAAAACTATGTGATTCCAGACTCCAAAACTATCGAATCAAAATATTTGAGAAAATTATTATTATTATTTAAAATAAATTGACTAACCAGGCACAATACCTTGTGGTTCTGGGGCCACCTGTCTACGAACTTGTGTCTGTTCGTTTTGTTTGTTAAGTGACATTGAGTCAGTTCCTATCCATTGTGATCCTGTATAGGGTTTCCAAGGAGCAGCTGGTGAGCTTGAACCACTGACTTTGAGGTTCAAACTGACTTTGCAGTCCAACGCATTAACCCACAGCGCCACACGTAGGGGACACTTATCTGGAACCTGCCTCTAATTCCTTGTCAAGGGCACCCTCAGACTAATGTTTGCAGAAAAGTCATCATGACCTCTAGAGACTGCTCATTTCATCAGTTCCCCACCTCCTCCTTAGCCAATCCTTCTAGATGTCTAAATCACACAGCATGTTAAGTGAGAGCACTCACCGGCTCTCCTCGCCCTCCAGCAGCTGTTTGTAGGTGGCAATCTCGATGTCCAGGGCTAGCTTGACGTTCATCAGCTCCTGGTACTCTCGCAGCTGCCGTGCCATGTCCTGCTTGGCCTGCTGTAGAGCAGCCTCCAGATCGGCCAGCTTGCACTTGGCATCGTTGAGGGCAGCCTCACCCTGCTGCTCTGCCTCAGCCACTGCAGCCTCCAGCTTGGCACGCTGCAGGGAGGGCAGAATGTAGCTGGGTTTTGGTAGGGGTCCAGGGATCCCCAGGTGGGATTAGAAACCCTGCTCCCTGATGGTAGGAACATAGCCTAGTACCAAGCTGTGGATGAAGCCTGCTATGGCTACCTTCCCCGAGATTGATGATTATGATTTGATGTCATCGGGGACAAGGATTCTTTTTCTTTTTTCAGTTTTGCCTTTTCTGATTGTATACTTCCTAGTTTCTGCTGCCTCAAGACCATGGGGTCCAGAGAGCAAACTTAGTTTGTCTACCTTGCTTTTCTCACTGAGTCTGCTCCCAGTCTTTCCTTTCATGTGACAGGGTCCCCCTTCCTTCTACATTGTCCTCCTCCAGAAAGTCTTCTCAGACTAATCCCTCCATCCCTCTGGTTTTAAGTCTTGCTAGTCTCCTCTATGTCATCAGACTTGGTGCTCCCCAAGCTTAGAGCCTGTCCCTCCTCCCTCCGGAACTTCCTCTCAGCTGCTATTCCCACCTGAGCCTTGGCGTGTTCAATCTCTGCCTTCAGCCTCTGGATCAGGCGGGTCAGCTCGTTGATCTCATTCCGTGTGTTACGCAGGTTATCAGAGTGCTGCCCAGCGGTCATCCGCATCTCTTCATACTGTGGATGGCAGTGTGCCAAGAGTTCAAATGTAAGGTCAAGCACCACTGAGTTGGAGACCTTAAACCTTCTCTGGGTCCCCTCTGTTGTATATGAATCTTGCTCCCCTACTCCCGGGCCTCCTCCAACCCTTGGCAAATCTCCCCTGCCCACCTTGGTCTGGTACCAGGCCTCAGCATCTGCCCGACTGCGTCTGGCGATCTCCTCATACTGGGTCTTGATATCAGCAATGATCCCATTGAGGTCCAGATCCCGGCTGTTGTCCATCTTCACGATGACTGATGTCTCTGAGATGTGTGATTGTAGCAACTGGATCTCCTGTGTTGGAGGACCAGAGAGACAGGTGGGCTCAGAGCCCCTTTTAGTGTCCTAGACTGAGTGCTAGGGGCTCCAAAGGGTCAAGCGAGCATTCAGCTCACTCTTACTCTTTGGTTCGGAGCACAGCAAAGCAGCAGATATTCCAGATAGGACCTTGGAAAAATAGATCTGAGAACCAATTCAGTTTGACATTTGGAACCTTGTTACACATTTTGGAAATATCTCTATATCATCCTCACCTAACACTCACCTAGCATTGCTTTTTTTTTTTTTTTTTAATTGTTGCTGTTGTTAAGTGCCATTGAGTCAGTTCTGATTTTGAACCACTAATCTTGCAGTTTGCAGTGTGGTACTTATCCTACAATGCCACACTAGGACCTTAGGTGAACATCAAACTCATGAACCCTAGGAACTTGGTGAAGGGGAGAGGGAGCCATGCTAGGATTTAAACTTTTTTTTTTTATCCACAAAGTAACTGTGCTAGCCATCAAATGTTGATATCTGACAATATTATAGGACTTCATGGTCTAGGAATTCCTATATCTCAACTCCTTAATAAAACCAGGGACCTTGGAACTGGCCTGCAAAATAAGGACATTTTCTTGAGCCTTTCTACTCGGTGCTAGAAATTCAGCTTTGTGTCTACAGCAGACCATATGGACCATTTATAAAGCAAAAGATAGCACATTGGTCTGGCTAACTGGATCAAACTTCTAGTGCTTCATTTATACCTGGCAATTCTGTTTTCTAGAGCTTTTAATCGGTAAATGGATGAGGCTCCTAGACTGTAGCCTTTAGATTGCCACTAAGGATTTAGATCCTATTGATCCAAAGAGTTTATTAAAAGTCCTGACTCAGGCATCTGAGATGTCTGCTTACCTTATCTTTCAACACATAGAGTATAAGGAATTGAGTGGGAGAAATGATGTGGATGCTAGATGTTTGAAAAACATACCACCCCAGACTAAGTCCTTCAAGAGTCCAAGAGCTGGTCTCCATGAACAGCCCAGAAAGCACAGGTTCTCACCTCCATGTACAGGGTTCTCAGGAATTCAATCTCGTTACGAAGAATATCCACATTGGTTTCTAGGTCAGACTTATTCAAGAAAGCTGAATCCACATCCTGTATAAAGGAGAGAAGGATGCCATTCTCATTACCCCTGTGCTTGTTTCACATTCCCTCTGGGGCAGGTCCAGAGGGAAGGTCAGACCAATTCCAGCAGGGCTTTCAGGATCAGTGGTAACATCACCGGGTGGAAATGAAGCTCAATGACTATTGCTCTTCCACCCAATAGAGTGTGAAAACTCCCCCAGAGACTGCTGGATGCTTGCCCTAAATCCAGTCTCAGTTCTGATGCTAATTTAGAGGCAAGGAGAAATCTGGATACTCCAAAGATCTTTAAAAGGTCGTCTCTTCAGACCTCTGCTCTTGTGAAGACTTTAGCCAAATAATCTTGGCCAAATCCAACCATTGGAGGGAAATCATTTTGATCTCAGGGGTTCTAGTCCCAGATACCATAAGGCTGCATGACAGTTTACATCTCAAGAACATGTGCTCCCCTTACCTTCTTCAGAGCCACAAATTCATTCTCAGCATTGGCCCGGAAGCTCACCTCCTCTTCATACCTGGAGTGACAAGTGTTAAGGGGGTGAGTTATCACTCTGAACTGAAAGTCAATCACTTTCTGCTCCACCCAGAACTGTGGCTCTCTTGCCATCCACATGCTATCATCCTTTCTTTTCTATCTTTATTGCCTTTTATGGGCCAGTAACTCTCAGTTTTCCAAATCCCCCTTTCTTTAATCAAATTGGGATTTGGTACCTGGAAATCTGGACCACTGTTACACTCCTCAGTTAGAATAGATTTATGGTCACTGCACTTGACCATGAGGATGGAGCACCAAACTCAGTGTTGAACCTGATTACTATTTTCAACACCAGAGGTCACCTATTTCTGGAGTCAACTTACCTGTTTCCATAGATATAATTATGGACCAAAACAAAATAAAACAAAAACCTGTTGCTGTCAAGTCAATTCCAACTCATAGCAAGGGCCAACCACACCCAATTCTGAATCTTCTTATCTCTTATAAGAATTGGAGAAGGACCCTCCCCCTTTCACCTTACCTATCACTGTCCCCTATCCCTGCAATCAACATTTAACCCTTATCCTTCTAGTTACTCTCATTTGAGTGTGGCTGCAACCCACTACCATCCTCAAATGTGCTTTCCAGATGACACTTACTTCTTCTTGAAGCCTTCAAGGACATCCTGCATATGGTTCCTCTCTGCCTCTAACCGGGCCCGGTCACTGGCAGCTGTGTCCAACTGTCTCCGTAGGTTGCTGATGTAGTTCTCAAAGAGGGGCTCCAGGTTGCTCCTGGTGTGTTTCTGCTCTTGGAGGAAGCTCCACTTGGTCTCTAGCAACTTATTCTGTTGCTCCAGGAACCGAACCTAAATCCACAGGGGTAGAGAAATGGCAATTGAAGTGTTCATTAGGACAACTCCTATGTCAATCAGTTCTTCAGGTGGTTAGAGAGGAGTCCAAACCACATGTTGACATTGTTCTCTCCTCTATTGACTGTCACTTGTCCTCTGTCTTAATAGAAGCTGCAAGTGCTGGTCTGCCATCCCTTCTTCATACTCAGTCAAGCTCAACTACAGGTAGAGGCTTTTGAATGCAAACAACTGAGTATACTTCTCCTTCTACCGTCTTAGAAAGTCATAGGCCAATCTATGAAGAAGTTAAAAAGATTGAAGCTTTGCCTATGTCTAAACAAATTATGCCATTCATTACAGCAGAGAATGAGAAGCAGGGTGAAATATATTCAGGATGGGATGGGGTTTCATTACATGGCAATAGAGGTTGGAATTGCCAGGTTATAAACCATAACCTCTATCCCAGATATTCCATTGACTGAGACTCATAGAGCTGTAGGAAAACTTAAAGACCGTTTACTCCAACACTTTCATTTTAAAGATGAGAAAAATGAAGCTCACAGGTTAATTTCCCTTCTCAGACACAAGCTAAGCATTCTAGCTCCTTACAGACCTCATTTGTGAGATGTCAGTTCTTAAAATAGTGATTCTCCACATCACTGTTCCTCATCAACTTGAAGATCAGTGATCACCAGTGGTGGTTACGAGTCAGGCTGCTAATCTCACGGTCAGCAGTTTGAAACTACTAGTTATTATGCTAGAGAAAAGATGAGGCCTTCTGCTCCAGTAAAGATATACAGCTTTGGAAACTCTATACAGGGTTGCTATGAGTCAGAACTGACTCCACAGTATATAAACACCACCACCACCATTCTCTACTGCTTCTCCTAATCTAGGTAACTTGGCTTGAATGTTGATACTCCACATGGGTGGGTTATGAGTTCTTTTCTTTATGGACTCTTGAGTGAGTTTAATTTAATCTTAAAATAAAAGCTTTTTCCCATGGTTCCATATGATACGGTTTACCTGACTACATACTTTGAGTGAGCAAGCACGTTGCCTGTTGGAAGAGTCTAAACTCAGGTCATATCTACAAAACTGTGCATGGACTATCAGAAGTAATAATCTAACAACAACAACAGCAACAGATGTTTCATTATAAAACAATCCAGATTATTGGATAAATTACTTTTTAAATGCAAAATCTCTCAGTTTCATATGTCACCTTCCTAGATCTGTGAAGATGTTGTTCCCCAGCCTCCAAAGTTATGAAAGTATTAAAAAGAACATATTCCCGCCAGCATCTGACTGGAGTCCTAAGTTTTCAGCCTGTCTGGGAGCTATTTTTAAGTGATCAGATGGTAGATCTTCATTTTCTCAAATGCTCCCATCTTTGGTTGGTTGGTCCACCTTCCTCTTGAAGACACAACCACTGTCAGAGTCTACCCCATTCTGCAGCATTTCCTCAAGATTCTCCTGATTCTGAAGCTGAGTGACCCAGAAATCCCACCTCTATGCTTTTTCTTGACATCTGAAAGATCTGGAGTGCAAGTCGATGCTCTAGACCTGGGGAAACTATTCTTAAGGTAAAAAGGACCACAATACATTTCAGCACTCTTCATCCCAGACCCAGATATTCAGCTATCATAGGTACCTTGTCAATGAAGGAAGCAAACTTGTTATTGAGGGTCTTGATTTGCTCCTTCTCATCCTTCTTCACCCTCTGGGCATTGGGGTCGATCTCCAGGTTGAGAGGGGTCAGCAGACTCTGGTTAACAGTCACAGCAGTGATAGAGGGAGCTGTCGGGAGTCCAACTCCTCCAGCTCGGTAGCCAAAACCAGGACCACCGAAGCCATAGCCAAGGCCACTCCCAGCTCCACACCCCAGACCAACACCACTGCCGGCACCAAAACCAAAACCACTGCCAACACCGAAACCAATTCCACAGCGGATGGGACGAGGGCCTACAGCTGCTATTCGGGGTGAGTATGATCCAAAGGTGGTTACGCTCCGACTACCAAAGCCCCCCTGGCTGCAGAATCCAGGCCCACTCCTGCAGGACACAGAGCTGGCTCGGAAGCGGTTGAGATTCTGGGATGTCATTGCTGAGCAGGAGCTGAAGTTGCCCACCCGGCGACCAGAGCTGACTCTATAGGAACGGCAAGACATGATGGTTTCTTGGGTTGGAGCAAAGAAACAAGTGTAGAATGGAGCAAGCTGGAGCTAAGAGGCCCTCTGAGACTAGTGGATCCCTCTTACCCTTTTTATGTGTATGGGGATCTAAGGACTGGCCCCATAAAACTGAAAAAAGCCATTTGGAGGCATTTATGAGCTTGGGTAGTTAGCAGAAACTCTTCATGCCTATAACCTCCTTAACAATGAGCTAATCTCAGACACACCTCTTCTCCTCAGGATCAGGACTATAACATAAAACCTATAAACATTAAAAACATATAAACACATAGACATTATAGCCCCATTTCCCCCCATCAGTCCACCACAATTGCCATTATGAGGACATTAATTTGCTTTGATCATAAATCCAGTAGACTTTTTCACTGTGAATGTGGCTAACCACCAGAAAGTTAGGATGGTAACAGCTCCAGCAAGAGGCTGCCAAAGGAGGCAGCTATACAGATCCAACCCCCTACCAAGATGCAGGAAGGGACAGAAGAGAGGCAGGGTCTACCTAACTCCAAGGAAGAAATTACATGGCAAGATTAAGTTTATTGCATGTCTGTGGATGGAAAAACAGTCAGAAAACCTTTTACTGTGTTTTATCTATTCTCTATGATCTGATTTGTCTGTTTACACAAGAGTTGAATCTTCATTACAACTCAGCTGGCCTAGAGTCGACACATCTCTAATTTGAGACACTCAGAGAATATTCATCAGTCATTCAATGATTTTTATGGGTTAAGCATTGGGCTACTAGCTGTGAGGTTGGCAATTCAAATCTACCAGTCACTGCATAGGAGAAAGATGAGGCTTTCTGTTCCCATAAAAGATTTATAGTCTTGGAAATCCTACATAGGGTCACTATGAGCCAGAATCAATAACCTCATATGCATGTGAAAGTTGGACAGTGAATAAGGAAGACCATAGAAGAATTGATGCTTTTGAGTTAAGGTGTTGGATGAAAATATTGAAAGTGCCGTGGGCTGCCAAAAGAACCAACAGATCTGTGTTGGAAGAAGTCCAGCAAGAGTGCTCCTTGGAGGTCATGATGGCCAAACTTCGTCTCTCATACTTCAGACATATTGTCAGGACGGACCAGTCACTGGAGAAGGATATCGTGTTTGGTAAGGTGGAGGGTCAGAGAAAAAGAGGAAGACCCCCAGCGAGATGGACTGGCAAAGTGGCAGCATTAATGGGCTCAAGTGTGGCAACAATTGTGAGGTGGGCCCAGGACCGGGCAGTGTCTTGGTCTGTTGTATATAGGGTCGCTATAAGTCAGTACTGACTTGATGGCACCTAACAGCAAAAACAAATGAGCCAGAATTTATTTGGTACCAGTGGATTTGTTTGTTTAGACTTGATACCATGTCGTGTGCTTGGTTCTGGAGATGCAAAAATGAAAAAGGCAGTTTCTGTCCTCATGGTGGCAAAGGGGGATTTACCTTGAGGACTTCCACCAGTCAACAGTTTTGTAGCCTAAGTTAAAGGCAAAGTTTGCCAATGATTTGGCCATGGATCTGTGTGGAAAGTGAACTACACCATGTACCCCAAATATACCATGGACTGAATGAATAATTCCTTGAATTGTTGATGAATCCTTGATTTGTATGTAGAGACATAAAGCATTATGCATCTGGATAGAAAGGAGAAGTTCTAAAGTGACAGGATATTGTTATCATGTAGGAGCCAGAAACAGGCTGGGTTTTCCTTTTCTGTTTGCATGTGCGACATGGCTCCTCCTATCTATCCTGTATTTGGGGTAACTGCTATCGAACTGAAGGCTGGGATTCTACTTGGAAGAGAATGTGTGCTTTTGACCTGAGCTGTTCAGCTTGGCTTTACATTAGTTTCCCTGGGCCCAGCTATTGGGTGTATGTCTAAGAGGGAGAAGAAGCAGAGCAATTAGAACAAGAGAATACCTAGACCTCTAGTCAAGGTCACCAGTGTGACCTTCACATCACCAAATCCAGAGCTCTATTCTCTGCCCTTATTTGACTTGACTTACCAGTTGTATTTGACACACTTCATCAGACTCTTTTCCTTGAAACATTCTTCTTTTAATTTCCAGAACACCACAATACACATTGGAGTGCATTTTGTTCTGGTGTGGTGCAGTAGGATAAGCACTGGACCACAGGGTCGGTTTGAACCAGAAGATTGGTGGTTCAAATTCATCAGCCACTCCTCAGAAACCCTATACAGGATCACTATGGGTCTCTACCAACTGAAAGATACTTAACAACAACAACAACACTCACCTCTTTTGATGCTCTCTTTCCATCTTACTAACTGCTTCTTTCCATTCCGCCCTCATCTCTTCATCCTCTAAACACTGAAATGTCTCTGGGCTCAGTCCTTGTACCTTTTCTTACCTTTATTTACACTCACTCTATCGGTGATGTCATACTGGTTCATGACTTTAAATCGTATCTACCCTCTGATGTCTGTCAAAGCATATCTCTATCTAGACTGCCCTCTTCATTCCATACATATATTCTGCTCAGCAGCTCTATTTGAATATTAAATGGACATCTCAAACTCACAATATCCAAAACTGTATTCCTGATTGTTCTTCCTAAAGACTAGCAAGAACTAGTCTCCCTATTCATGATGTAACTCTGGGGAAAACAATCTTGGAATCATTCTTTACTTCATTCTTTCACTCTATTTTTCCATATCCCACATTCAGTCCATTGACAAACTGTACCTTCAAAATACATCTAGACTCCTACTTCTTCTCACCACTCCCACAGGTGGCCCCTTCTTACACTACCATTCAGTCCCTCAGATCCCTCCTTTGCCAATTCATTCTTAACATCACAGTTGAAGTGATCCTTTAAAACCATGTTGGGCCATGTTAGGTCATTTCTATGTTCAAACTCCAGCAAAGGCTTCTCCTCACACTCAGAGTTAATACTATACAAGACCCTATACAGTCTGCCTCCTCCCCTCTACCTAGCCTCCTGCTCACCCTGCTCCAGCCTTTCTGGTCTCCTGGTTGTTCATTAAACTTCTGCCTCAGGGACTTTCTCATTTGCTCTTTCCTCTGCTGGGAATGTCTTTCCTCAAAAAGCTGCATGGTTGGCCTTGTAACTTTTTCAGGTCTTTGTATGTTATCTTCCTACTCCCTAATTGAAATTTCTTTCCTCCTGTTTTCCTAATCCCCCTTCTCTGACACCCTTCTCGCCATATAATTCATCATCATCTCATGTTCTCTCTGCATGGATCTGCCTGTTTACCATGTGTGTTTCCTGACTGGAGGCAGGCCTTGTAGTGTGTTTTGTTCTATTCGGTACCACTAATGCTTGGTGAGGTGGGGCACATGTTAGACATACTGTATCATTTTGTTGAATGATGAATATATAATAGATTAAAGGCAGGAGGAGAAAAGGAGAAAGGAACAGAGTATAAAAGCAAGAGGAGAGGAATTTAGGCATTTGGTTTTCAAATATTTCAGAAGAGGGGACCCCAGGCTCCAACATGGACAGGAACGTCCCTTGAGATGACGATGTAGAAGCTAAAGAGCTCCCAGGGCAACATACACACTTAGCCATCTCCAGTTTTTTGAGGTTTAAGTCATCCCATTCCTCCTAGGTCATGTGAGGGGCATACAGGAGACTGAGAAGAGAGCCCAAGGTGAAAGGGCTAAAGGAAGAGGCTATGGGAGAAGGAGGGATGGCGTAGAGAAAGACTAGTAAGTGTGTCAAGCTTCTATAGGCTGAGGAGCCAGATGGTCCTGAGTTCAGCTGCAGCTTTGCCACTTATCAGCAGTGTGACCTGGGACCTTGGTCTTGCATGGAAGGCAGGGTGGTAGGAGGGTTCTGCCCTGATTTCAGGCAATAAGGGGGTGCTTACTTGTACAGAGGAGCCTGGTTGGGCTGTGGGTTTCACATCGGGCTGATAACTGCAAGCAGTTCAAACCCACCAGCTATTCCATGACAGAAAGATGACGCTTTCTGCTCCTTCCAAGATTTACAGCCTTGGAAACCCTATGTAGGGTTAAGTCTGAATTGACTCAATGGCAGTGGATTTTGGGATTTGGGTTTGTCTGTGCAGAATTTAAAATCAATGGTAACCTAAAAGTTGGTATGCTTTTTATCATCACTGTGCACAATGTAAGCAATCAAAGAGCACCCTACTCCCTACCACAGTATGCTAATGACACTGAGAAAATGGTGTAACCTCTCTGAGCCTCAGTTTCCTCATCTGTAACAATAGACCACTGCCCATTTGACAGTACTATTGTGAGGATTAGCTATGAAGTGTTTGGGATATGCACTGCATAGTGTGTGGCAGTTCTTACGGCTGTTTTTATCCATTTATTTCCTTTACTCTCTTTCTTTCCCTCTCCCCCCTCCTCACTCTTACAGAATCTTCTCTTCATTTCTAAGTAGGCATCTCTGTTCCAGTCCAGCACCCACCTCCTTCCTGCCTCAGTGGAAATAGCTTTCATTCATTACCCCATTATCGTTTCGTGGGGCTTTCCTTTCTCAGCTTCCTCAGCTCTGACTGGGTGGGTGGAGTGGGGGTAATTGGGCCGTCAAGCATAACCCCTGTTCTGGGATGAGCTTTTCCCATCAGCATTTTATAGTTCTGAGACATCATTTCTTCAGACCATGCATAATGCCACCCTCAGCTAATTTTTTTTTTTTTTTTTTAATGTAGAGAGAAGGGTGGGGAGTTGCCCTGGCAACTCTGGCTGGAGGTTTTGCTGCTGTGACAGTTTCTTCTGACTGTTGTCAGTCAGCCTGATTGTAATCCAGAGATCTGTTGGCTGAATCCAGCTCAGCGCCTCAAGTTGTGTGTGATGACTGCTGAGTCATCATGATGCTATCTGGGGATCAGGGAGGAGGGAAAATGCTGAGTGAGTAGGTAGGAGAGAGAGACCCTTCCTTGACTGGTTTAGAAGGTCTGGGAACCCTGACTCCCTCTCCCTCCCTCTCTTTCTGCCTCTGGTATGAGAGAAAGGGAGAGAGAAGTGGCAGAGAGAC